GAATTTTTCTTGGCAATCGTCGGAGATTTAGAACAATGATTTGTTTTAGCTATCACGCTTGGTGACCTTGAATCTATCTTATTTAAAACTGGTGGTAACGGAGGAGGTGACTCACTTGGAGATCGTATTTTTATAGCTGCCTCCTCTCTAGTCAATGGTAAAGCTGGCGAGGGTGATCTGCTGGATACTGGAGACTGAATAGCAGGCAGGTGAATTATAGGTGATTTTGACTTAGACTTCTCTTGCACAGGACCAACAATAACATTTTGTACCATTTTGGGCGGGTCATTTGGTAAAGCTATATCCAACACGTTATCTTCTTTCTTCTCAACTTTGATCTTTACTGGACTTATTACCTTCTTGCCAAGAGTCTCTCTGGCTTTCGCTGCTAATCCACTCTGCAATCGCTTCAACGTATGCATTTCCTTCATTTTTTCTTCGTCCTCTGCTTTTGGTTCGTCGTCTGCTATGTCTGTTTCATCCTCGCTCGAGGAACGTAACCTGACTCTCGGTGTAATTGTTCTCATTTTTCTCGCTTTCGAACTTGACCGGGATTTCCTTTTGGTATCGTGATTCTTCTTTTGATCTCGTTTCTTCTTCTCCTCTAATATATGCTTGTAGCGTTCCGGATTTTTCCTCACAGGAGAATAACTTAAGGTAGATCGTCTAGACCTACTTCTGGTTTTGCTGCGACTCTTGCGACGATCTCTAGATCTTTCTCGTCTACTATCCCTTTGTCTCCTGGACGACCTCGACCTCCTTCGAGAATCAGATCTTCTACGTCTAGGAAATGGTGATAACCGACGTCGTGATCCATAACGATCATACCTCGATCGACTTCTGCTTCTGGATACGGAATATCTATTGTATCTTCTCGGAGATCTCGAAATCCTTCTCCTTCTTGGGGAAGGACTGATTCGACGTGATCTTGAATACCTTCTAGGAGACCTTCCTCTATCAACTTTACTTCTTGAGGGAGATCTATGTCGCCTTGGCGGAGGACTCTTGTGCACAACCGGTGATTTATCCTTTTTCTCTGGCGCAGGTTTTTTGATAGGAGAATCTTTCCTTTTAACAGGAGGAGTTTCATTCCGACTTTTTTCTTGCTTCTTTGGTGAGCGATTTGATCGAGGTTCTTTAGTCGTATTCTCCGCCTCGTCGTTCTTAGTTTTCTCTACAGTTTTATCATGTTTCATAGACTTTTTTGGCCTTTCCGGAGAGCTGAAAATTCAACAAATTTACACGTAACATAAAATTAACAAATTATTGAATTACCCGATTTTTCAAATTTATCAGGAAAATTTTCCACTTTGAAGCTTACCTATCTGACGAGCTCTCGGATGACTGATGCTTCCTCTTAACGGCTATTTTTTTCTTCTAGAAGAAGAACAGTACGGATTATTATGTTAGACAGGGTTATCTAATGAACACCGATCATGCATATGTATTATACTTGTCAGTAGGATAAAAAAAGAAATTGTAATTGTTCAAAGATTCTTTGGAGTCTGCTCATTCGCTCTAGTACAAATATTCAGTATATTAAAAAAGTGTTAAAAGGCTAAAGATTAAAATATGTTTGCAAAAGTAACATAGTCGAGGAAATAAAAGAAATCGGAGAAGTTTATATGTGAACGTTGTGTAAAGTTTTAATTATTAATCTGTTTGCATTGCACCTAGACCAGAGAACAAGCAGTCTCCTATTCGTTTATTCTCTCGTAAATGTGATGGTGCTTGACACAAAACGAGTGAAAAGGCAACAACAATCGCAAAAATTCGTAATAGAAAAATTACAAAATTATTATTACATTGAGTAGCGGCATATCTGGTACTCACTTAGGGAATATATCCTGTCAAATGGCGCTGATAATTACAAACAATACTGAGATTTACACTTTTGAAATAATGACTGTTAACTTGAAATCAGATAAAAATCTTTACAGAAACAAGCAATGAATCATGCTTATTCAAAGTTAGGCGACAACACAAAAATATCTTATAAAATCCAATGGTCAATTAACAACTAATTGGAGAAAAAATGAACGTAAAAGTATATGTCACATGCTCCTGTTTCACGTGCTAAGGTATATATAGTATATATAGTATGGATATATATATATATATATATAATTATAAATATGTATATGTATAGAAAGAGAGGAAGATAGAAATTTTGTATTTGTTTCCTTTGCATCATTTTTTCCTACCTCATGTTTTTCTTTTGCCTCTGCCTTTGACTTCTTCTTCTTCTTTTTCTTTTTCTTCTTTGACTCAGTTTCGGAAGAACTAAAAGTACGTGCAGTCATGTTACATTAAATACATATAATACATTAAATATAAAAAAAGATACAAATTTCAGAAATTTAAATTACCTGCTATCATCTGAAGCTTCACTAGAATCACTGTCAGAGGAACTAGCCTCAGTCTTCTTATGTTTCTTTTCCTTTTTCTTTTTTTTAGACTTTTCTTTCTTCTTGCTAGCCTTCGGTGATTCCGACCTAGGAAATTCATTCACAATTATTATAAAGGTTTCATTATGGACAAGTATAATTGATTTTTTTTTTTTTTCGTTAATAATATTTAGTTCTTTTTTTTTTTTAATTCTTGCAGTGGACGTCTTCCTGTCGACAAGTGCATACCTTGTGCTGACAATAAAGAAAGCTGTAGTACAATGTATCCGTGTGTGAAACAAATACTTTAGTCTAATGATACAAGCTACCTGCTGCCGTCAACGTATTCGATTAAAAAGTAAGAGAATTCGGAAAAATTAGCAGTTAAGAACGCATAATTCCGACGAAATTTTTGCACTGATCTATCTCATTGC